ATTTGCATAATATTTTTATTCATATCTTGATTTACATGTCAAATGGAACACCATTGATAATACCCACATGGCATTCTTTTTAAAAAGTGTTGGGAAATCTGGGCTTATGTAGGCCATGTACACTTTCGGGACTTAATAGGAGATGACATTTCCTGCCTTTCATGTTTTAACATAATTAATTCTGATGTAACTTGAGCAGCGATGTTGGTCTTGTAGGCAACGTTACTCAGATTGACGGAGTATCTGTGAAGCAGCATAAGCAATCATTTTTAAATCTTTGTAATATTTCATAACTAACCTAGTTAATTCAAGTGATAGAAGGTTATGAACCTTGAATGGTTCAACTTTGTTTAAAATTGTAATGTTCCATCAGTGTCCCATAGGAGAGCAGGAATAAAAAAAAAATCTCAATTCTGAGGTAAGATATAATTAACATGCTCAATATCTATATCCACTTTTCGTACACAGTAACATTTAATTTAGTTTTAATTCCAAACAAAAGAATGCAATTATTATTTCTCTTAGATTGTGTCCAGGAATATACATTTTCCACATCGTCCAAGTAAAGTTAAGAAAAAGTCTGAGTTAACATACTTATTTTTTTCCAGGTGAAGGACCACTGGCTCTCCATTCACTTTAAATTCATATTGCATGGTGTCTTCATACTGAAAAGCAAAGAGTTCAGGGTTTACTTCTTAAAAAATTAGGCAAATAAAATGTGTACCCTCTTAACAACTCTACACCTGTATCAATTTAAATCTAATGAATAACTTGCCATAGCCAAATTATTCATTAGATTTAGAGTATTTCATCTGGTGCTTTGAACTGTAAGATCTTAAATTACCGGTAACTTTCCTGCATAAATTCAAGATCTCATTCTCTAATTGAACATCTTGGTGAATGAGGTTGAGCTGGGACAGAGAGATGGACTCAAAAGTCATCCAGTGATAGACTTGAATCTGGTTCTTAGAACTAATCTTGAGCTGTGACCACTATACCATCTTCACCTAGAAACACAACTTTTATATTTCAAAGTGATGCATTCTGGGAAGCTAGAAAGGATAATTTGAAATCTTATGGTTCACAGTTGTCACAGCTTTTATGAAGGATAACCAAAGAGCATAAAAAAGAAAAGAAATCCCTCAAAGTTACCTATTAATAGCAAATTTATGTTAGGCACAGGTAACCAGATCCACACATGTAGAATTTAAATTTACAGTACTTTACTGTATTCTGCCTATAATACAGGAATCTCCCTAGACTGCTTCCCTTCTCCTCAGAACAGATAAATAAACTTTAATGGAATTTCCTGGGGTAGTGGAGGATGTCAGTCCTAGATCTGTTGCAGCTATGAAATGACTCATGGCTAATTCCCTACTTGATCCCTCCTCACTGTACGGCTGGGTGTCTCCCAACACTTTGTTAGTTATACTAATCTATTAATATTAGGGAAATCTGTTTGTAAATTGCCAGGAGTCTCCTCAATTTTGTGTGTATTGGGAGGCCATATACATTTGTTTAATTAATAAATAAATAATGCAAGAAGGAACGTAGATTGCAATCCAAAATTCAGATAACCGTTAGATGGCAGAAAAGGAATATCAAACTTTCTGTGGGCTGACAAGAAATAATTTGTTGATGAAACAAAGATCTTTTTCTTACCTTTGGCTGAACTGCTCCTTTGGGCAATGCAGTGAGTTTTTGTGGATACACGACTTCATAATCATTAACGTTCCCAGATTCCAGAATTATAGAGCTCCCTTCGTAAGGAAAAAGAAAAGATTTGGTTTACTTTGGGATGTTATTCTACCATTTTCACATCCACAACACAATTTGTTATTCAGTTCTCAGTGAAGAATGGAATCTTTTTCTAGTGGGACACAGCACAGAAATCCAGAGTTTCTCTGGGAAGGCAATTTGCTGAATCATGTTTGGGAGCTGGAAATCTAACTAGAGGCATTGCTTTGGGCAGGTGCAAAAGAAACATTTTTGGAGCTTGAATAATCAGAAATAAATAAATAAATAAATAAATAAATAAATAAATAAATAAATAAATAAATAAATAAATAAATAAATAAATATAAATAAATAAATATAAATAAATAAATAAATAAATAAATAAATAAATAAATAAATAAATAAATAAATAAATAAATCTCAACCAATCTGGAAGTTTGTGCACTGAGTGATAAGAATAACACCAGAAATTGTAAATCAAAATATTCTGATTCACACTATTCAGTAAACCATACTGCATTACGGTTTAGCATATCTATTAGTCAAAAAGCTAGACAAACTTAGCTTTCTATGCAAATGCAGCTTATTAGGAATTCCCTTCAGTTGAACTGCTATTTCACTGCCATCCTAATAGTTTTACTGACTTTCCTTTCTTTCATTTTTAAAAGAATCTATGGACAACCCACAGCATCATAATTATCACAGGAACTCCTAAGAACATATAAATAATGAAGTGATTTCAGAA